TATTCCTTGAAAACTATAGGATAGTTTCACTGGTGATTAAATTGTGCTTTTTTTATGTTAACGTAATAAATGGATATGATCAGTAATCAAAACATATTCGGATAGACATGTTGATAACAGTATATTTTTGAAGTAATAGTTTTACGTTTACAAACGTTTTTATACTTTTCAATTACAGACAATGACTGTCGTCCTTGTCGTGCTAGGTAATGAGTTTGCAGATACATTGTTCCAAATTATGTTTCTCGTAAAAGACAGTGAGCAAAAAGAGTCAATCTACAGTATGGATAAACAGTTCAAATTATATTTTCTTATTTGATTATATGTAACAAATCTAACCTGTCGTTAATTTAAACTGTTTTCTTTTATAGATTAATCACTTAATAAGCAAAAGTTGCACATTGGGACAAGGATTTTTTAGAGAACGAAATTAGGGCTAAAAAGGGAACGGTTGCGTATTTATCGTCAAATTTGGAGTGATTAGAGAACGATAAGAATTATAAAACGAAAACATCGAAAAGAGAACGGAATTAGTGCTGAAAAGACAACGGTTCAGAATTCTGAGTTCAAAAGACTGAAAAGAGAACAGCCATATGTTTGAATAGTAAATTATCATCTATATATATTTATATATATGCATTACCTGCAAAAAAATATTGTACAAAAAAATGCAAATATACATGATATTTCAAAAAAGTAGCGCAAGACTAGATTTTTGAAATAAGACGTGGTTAGATTTCTAATTTTTTCATTTTTCGCGATTGGGATAATTCCGATCTGTCAGTTATTTTTCTTGAAGTAATTCCGGCCGGTACATTCAAATACATGGAGTTTTGTGAAACAAATCTCTGATACTTTTCAGAAGTAGATTTCTAACATACTCTTCAGATAAAAGGTATTCGTCATGTTATTACCTATAACATATGTGAAAATTGCATTTCAATAGCTCAAAATCAGCAGGTTCTATGACCTTAAACATTTTGATGTAATTTTACACATATTGTGGTAATGAATTTACACAGTATTATTAAATATTCTCATTAAATATGACCGATTCATGATGCATCATGGGCTGTACTCTTATGGGTTGAATAAAAAAATGAGACATGAAATTCGATTAAAATTAAGGAAGATAGTATTGAAACTAGAGCTAGATGTTTATGAAACAAATATCGAAATACTTACAAAAACCCATTCAAAAACTGATTTGATAGCTTTAATTATTTAATCGGTACTGGTGTGCAAATGTGATTAAGGTAAGTACCTAGCATCGATATCCAGTTGATCTTACTTACTTAATATTACAAAAAATTATACAGAATATTTATGTTGGAAAATTATCATTTATTATTTACTTGAAAATAGAGAGAAATGTGCATCACAGTGATTCGGCACTTTATTAGTCAGAGGGAGAAAAAAAATTAATATTGTGAAAACGTGCGTTTGAAAACAGGCCTCTTCGGAGCATACCAGTATTCACCAGATAGAGTTTCACGGTTTCATTTTGTGCAAACCGTTTTCACACACTTTTGTACAGAATTTAATGAGGAATCTTTTGAAAAAAAGGCGAGGTTTGAGCGATAAAAACTGCATGAGATATTCACGAAATACTGACGCCGCCATTCTTCACGGGCCACCCGTTACGTATTATGGACGGATAGTGCTTACACACCATTAACTGCAGTGACTTGGCGCGATGCGTATATCTGTTGAGGTAACCTTCATTTATCTCGCTGGTTGAAGTAAATATCCGTAGAACAGAAAGAAATATTTTCTGAAGTTCGTAACGAACTCAGGAGCTTCCCCTGTTGCTGGTGGCAGTGCAGAAAATTGTATATAGGTTTTCTTTGTTTCTGCAACAAGAAAGTTTTGAATTTTTTGTTTCTTATCTGCTCGCTGTAGAATCAAAGATTATAGCTCTGTTCTTACCTATTGTGTGAAGTTAGATGTTAAACTATACTTAAACTGTCTTCGAAATGGCTGCCCCACGATCACAAACACAAAAAATACCTATCTCTGCTTTCATCGAATGTCCTTGACGGACGACTATAGAAAAAAATGAGACACTAGATCCACAGGTAAAAACTGTCTCCATTCGAAGATCTGATTTTTTCTGTTACGAACTTCCGCTTATTTTTTCTTACGAACTCCGCCTTTTTTATAGCACGAAGTCCGCCTTTTTATCTTTATGAACTCTGATCTATTTTTTCTCATGAATTTCGATAAAAATTTCAATACTGACGACAGTTTGATACACTTTTATGAGCTCCAACTCAAATTTTGTCACGAACTCCGAATCTTTTTATAACGAACTCCAGTTATTTGAGTATCTGATCGACGTTCGTAACGAACGTGATGATCGAGGTTCGTTTTTGAAAAATCGTGACGAAATGATACAGACTGTTTTATGTTTGATAATCATTGATTATTGTATTATATGTAAGACAGAGATACTTACAACAGAGATATCGTATTTTGCGCGATGCGAGGTACTTACCTTAATCACATTTGCACAACTTCATTAGAATAGGTGCCAATAATTTCAAATTTGTATCACAGGTAGAAGAGAGAAAGAGCTTCAAACTGGTGTAATTTCTGCCTGATTAGAACTTATCGTTAATTAGCAGAGGTTTGTTTCAGAAAACTCCATGTATTTATATGGACCGGCCGGAACTGCTCTAAGAGCAATAACTGACAGGTCGAAATTGCCCCATATGGGATAATCCGACCGGTTTGAAGGTCCCTGTCTCCTTCTGGATACTGGTCGGAAACGGAAAGGGATTTTAAGGAGATTTTTACATCAGCGGAGAGCGAACTGTTAGTTATCCGATTAAAAACGCCTTAGAAAGACGCAAAATATCAAGAAACTTTGTGCAAGTGGCCAGAATTACCCCATACGACTCTATTCCTCTTGTGTATATTTTCTTGGGATATCGGAGTTTCATTAAAGGAAATCCGTTAAAATGTTAGATGAAATTCTTGTGCCATCCAAAACTTTTTATGCAACTACAGATCACAGTCACTTTGCAGGCGACATTTTAATGAAAGTTCGGTGAACAGAATATAAGTTAAAGACGCGAATATAGGTGGATTTAAGCGGAGAGAAAATATGTATGTAGTGCTAAGTGATCATTAAAGGAAACGTTTTAATGAAAGTACCCAATTTGTTTTCTTTATATTCTTTTTGTTATTTGTCTACTAATTAATTTAGTGATGATAAATATCGATACCATTTAATGACAAGTTCGGTTCGAGACAGAACATCATTCTCATATCTTTTGAAATATTCCTTTAATTTATTATCACAATTATCATTGATTTTCTTAGCTTTTACTGTTTCTGTTAATGCAACGTGTATGATTATATTCATTTTTTTCCTGTATAGAAGTGAACTTACGAATAAATGTGACCAATATGTTAATACTATAAAATTAACCGTTTCATGTAACTTGTAAATAAAATAGTAGATGAAACTTACGGATAAAATGTGAAAAGAGAACGGAAATTTATTTTTGTAAGAATGCATATAATCGCAGGACTTTGTATAAGCTCATAATATTTAATTTACAGTACAAATAATTAATTATTTATTTATAATTTAAAATTTATTCTAACATTTCAAGTCACTGACTCATCATCAAACAAAATATATACACTGTAGAGAGGAATATGTTGATGCTACAATTATAATGTACGTATTAACTTTATTTTTGTAATTTTTGCATTTTTTGGAAAAACGGCGTTGAAAAGAGAAAGATTTTTAATTTAGTCAAAGAAACATTCAAAAAAGAACGGTCAACTGTTTATTTTTCAAAGCAGCTGAAGAGAACGGGTGATTTCGCTTGGCACCAAAAGAGATAATAAACTGAGTAAACCCAAAAGACATAATAAATTTAATTAGTAATCAAGAACGAAAATAAAAGTTAAATTATTGTGTTTTCAAAAGAGATAATATAGAATGAAAAAAACAAACGAAACTTATGGGTATACATTTTATTCTCATGTAATCAAGCAGAATCATTAAGTACAGTGTACAAAATCGAATTAAACAGTGTGCAAACGACAGTGATATAAATATGGGATCAGTAAATAGCAAAGCATGTCATTTTCTACTGTCAAACAAAAATAAATTTGGGAATTAAATTTATTATCTCTTTTGGCCCCTAGTCGATGATTTCGAAAGTAAACATTAAAAAAGCACGGGTTGTAAGGTGCAGGCAATTCAAAATTTCAGTAAATCTTTTTTTCGTGTTTTCTTTACATCATTGGATAGAGCTTGAGCTGCTGATCACGAAAAACGACTTTTTAGCCTTGGCAAATGCTTCCTTCTGGTCGAAAAATACGAAATACTCGAAAGGTGTCGTTTTCGAGAAAAACACGTTCTTTCTCGAAATGTGCAAAATGTTCTACTTCATTCTTCGTTTTTGCTTCTGAAGATAATTTTTCCAGATTCAGCACAGAAAACTGAATATAAGAAAGTTCTTAAATCGACTCTGGACCCAAACCCTACTGATGGTGACGTTTCGAATCGCGTCGAGTGCACCACATATTAGTCGATTTTGTAAACCTATCTAATTTTTCTACGTAAGTGATAAAGGCAAATGTTTTATCTCATTCGACTCATCATGCCACCAGTTACAAAGTTACGTATCCTTTTTTTTTCTTTTCTTTCCTGTGTTGAGAAAAGTCACTTTTACTGTTATGATACGATAAGGGGGAAGGTCATCTGTGAATAAAATGACTATTTTCTCTTCAAACCGAGTGAAAATCGCTTCAAATAGGTAAAAACTAATGGCGAATCGAACGGACATATTTTCGAGATCTTTAGAGGATCTTCAAAGGGTCTCTAGAAATCCTTTTCTTGAAAAGACATAGTTTTGTGATATGAATCGATATTTTATGATCTTTAATGGATATATTAATGATTCTTTATGCTTGGGTGAATAATATGAACGGAAACACACTGAATAAATGTACTGAAATGAAAAATAATATGTTCATTAAGACTCGTTTATGTTTTTATCAGGAGTGGTGTAATAAGAATCCTTATGTGTTAGAAAATAACTAATAAACTCATTACGATGTTTCATCACATCATCTCTTTCATGTCCTTCAAAATATGGACGTTGTGAATTCGCTTCGAATTTAGCTCCCCACCTACAGGGGTCCAGACGACAACTTCTTTCCGATCTTATCAAATCATCTCCAATTTGTTTTTCAATTCCGATTAGTTCATAATATTTTGTATCGATGAACTGAGCCAGGTCCGCTGCTTTAAACTCCGCTGATCTTTGCGAACATGCTTGGACAACGAATGCTCTAGCATCTGATTCAATTTCGGGAAATGTATCATAAAAGGAGTCCGTTTGTTTGCCACCACGTAAATCATACTCACCTTTCATAAACACTATTGCCCATTTATGAGAAGTACAATAAGACGTGGTTAGGTTTCTAATCTTTTCATTTTTCTCGATTGGGATAATTCCGATCTGTCAGTTATTTTTCTTGAAGTAATTCCGGCCGGTACATTCAAATACATGGAGTTTTGTGAAACAAATCGGTGATAGTTTTTTTGAAGGACTCGGACTTAAGTTTTTGTATTTCGAGTCCGATCTATTCAACTTTTAACACAAATGGGCAGAGAAAAATGAAAAGGGAAATAGCAACACCTACTGTTTCACATGAAATTGAAAAATTTGTTCGGAAGACAGACATAAAACGTAACCTTACTTTCGAAAAATCTATCTATCCAGGGCTCAGCAAATTAAAATGTAACCCATCCTCATCAAAAAAGAGTCGAAAAGATTACTGGACTTGGTACTCCGTCGGACTCGCCCATGCCTGCTGGACGACCTCGTCGTTTGCCAATCAGGATTATCCTGTGTTCATAAATTCAGTTTCATAAATCACACGTTTATGAAACTTGGACACAAGTTTCATAAATGTATGAGTTACGGAACTCTATTTATGAAGACAGATTATTCAGCCGATTTCTTGTAATTTTGCTGGATCAGCAATTGTGTAAAATCCGTAGTACATCATCAGACCGACGGACTGTTTACATAAAATGATCTTTGTTTAAGAAAGTACTTTCATAATTTCATGATCTACACGTCAGGTTTAATTTTTTTGAGTGAAACAAAAACGATGTAAAACGCAGAAGGACTACATGTGCATCCGTACGCTGACCATTACAGTCTTTCATGTGCGGTACGACGTGATGCGAACGGACCGTTAACATGTCATTTCTAAGCTTATTTTCCTTTTAGTAAAAATCACATTTCCGTAACCGTTAACAAAACAGTGAAAACATTTTTTTTGTTAACGGAAAAATAAGAACTGTTAACTTTTCAGTATGAAACCGTTGAACAAAAAAAAATGTCCGTCTAAAATACTAGTGAATACTTATATTCGGACGTATATACACTAAGAGTTGAAATTTTATACATTCAGTTGAAAATGTTCTATCAGGAGTATTTGCACTTTCATACACTAATAGAATAAATAATTGCTTCCATAATGGCTCGTTTTGCTGATTCCGTATCTTCTCAATTGAGATACTTTTTCAATTAGGTATCTCAGTTGGGAAATAAAAACATATAAACAAAACTGTAGTTCTAAATTGAGATACTATTCCTACCACAATAGTGTGTGCATGTGTTGTCCATATAAGTTCGAAAAGTATCTTCGTGTACATCATAATATAATCTAACAATATTGCATCGAAGTTTACTGAAATATCTTTATGGATTTCGTTCTCGTAAAACCACTTAAAGATGTACACCGGCTATAGCATACAAAGAAAACTTATATCGTCATCAGAATCAGAATGGTAGTGAGCATCGCGCACCACTTCCTTTTTAATCTCTTGGATCAAATCATTACATTATCGCCATTATTCACATCTTTTTCCTTGATTTTTGTTTGTATTCTGTTGTTATTTGGTGCTAGTCTGTTGCCCTTTAGGACCGTAAGGTCTTTTATGCAATACAAGAATAAACCCGATAAACAATCAGCTCTATCTGAAACAGAAGTCAATCGTTATCACGCATTAGTCGATTTGCTGATATGTCAACTCTGTGCACAATACTTGTTGGAAATCAAGTATTATTTCCAGTAGGAAAAATATTTGGAATAAAACTTAGAAACAATTGGATATTAAAATGTGATTTCGAAAAAATTAACTTTCTTCGCAACGAAAGAAAATTTCCCTGAAAGGATATTTAAGTTTTTTTTCACAAGTATGGTAATCAGACTGAAGTAAAAGAAAGAATTTTATCTCCCAAACCCCGGACTAGATAAGCTTTCAAAACTGCCTGGCAGCTTCTTTACCATTCTGGTCGTGTTTCGTAGATTCTGCGTCCATTTTAACTTCTAAAATTTCCAAAATTAGCTTTCTAAACTCAATTTCCAATTGAAAATAACAAAAAATGATTTTAGAATAATTAAAAGACCACCAGACATGAACATTTTTTTATCATTCAAAAATATCGACATCATCCGGAAATCACCGTCGCCGCGGATTCTCATACATTAAAGTGTTACAGTGTTAAAGTATAAACGTGCATAATTGAGGGTGAGGACGTGAGGATGAGGGTGGAGCACTTCTTTACCCGCTTCACTCTCACTTCTCCACCCTCACCCTCACTCGCCGCGAGTTCGTATATGTTAAAGTGTTAAAGTGTTAACGCTAAAGTATTAACACTTTAACACTGAATCCGCGGCGACGGCGATTTCCGGATGTTATGAAAATATCCTCATTTTTCTTCATTGTTAAACAATTAATATTTCAAAATTTGTTCACCAAAAAGTGTCTTCCAAAAATCTGAAATTGATGTTTTCTAGGTAACTCGATGAGTGCTATCCAACCATGCTAAAAAAGATGAAAAAGCAAAACATACTATCTATTTTAATTACCCGGCACCTTACAACGATATCGTCAAGCGTGGAAACAATTATTAAAAACATAGAAATTAACAAAGATGGATAAGTTCGGTGTTTTTTCAGTCCCAATCCACTAGAGGCTAAGCTTCAAGTCCGATGTCGGCCACAGCATACACTATTTTTCACTTCCATTCTCTTTCTTCTTTTTATTAGAGAGTAACTCTGTTCCTTTACATGACTATAGCAAAAAAAAAAAGACAGCACCAAAAAAACAGTCGTCTTTTGATTGTAAGTAGCTCTTGTAAGTAACTGATCAAAAGTTTTGATCAGAGCTAATCTTACTTGACCACGCGATAGCACGAAAAAGATAAAAGAGTGAATTCAATTTCTTTATTCTTTTCATCTTTTTTCAAATGTAAACTGAAAAGTCTAGTCACAAATGTGAAAAAAATCTGTTAAAAAAACTCCATGTCTCTTATGTCTTCAGCCAGAGTTCAGTCCCAGCGTGAAAGAGTCTATCAGTTCGGATCCAATCCCGGTCCGGAATTGGACTTGCCAATCTCTGAAAATTGAAGAGATTAAATATCCAAATAATAATTCATTACCACAAAAATCGATCCTAGATATGATTGTTGATACAATTCAACTGGTATTTGGTTGCACAAATCACTCATATGAGTGAATATTAATAAATAAATAATGTAATCCGGTAAGCTATTGAGCAAACAACAAATTGAGAATGGTATTTTCAACTATTGCCTTTATAAAAAGAGACTAACGGACATTTGACATGAATATACCGGTCTGCAATAACATCCAGCGTTCTTTTGACGCATGACCCATAACATAATAAAGATGGATATTTTTATATTTTTTATCGACAAAAACGAAGGATTAAACTACTCTAATATAGTAGGTCGAAAAATTATGCATCTACCGATCAGGGATGCCAACTAAAAAGAAATAAAGGGGGACAAATCTAGGAAAAAGAGGGACATAAGAGGGACTTTTTCTTCTACAAAGGGGGACAAGATAAAACGCTGAGATAAAGCTTTTTATTTACATTTTCTGAACATTTATTTTTAAAATCGGACATTAATTATCTAAAAGTAATTAGATAAGCAGAAAAACAAGACATTTCGCTCGAGGAAGATAATGAGAATTTGAACTTAAAAACTTTGTACAAAGATGAAAATGTTGTTGTATTCGACTCTTGTTTCATTTCTTACAGTATAGTAAAACTGCGTACAGCGTTATTTTCATTTCTATTTGGAACGTGCATCTTGAAAGGCGTGTACAAAAAAGGACAGAAAAAAATTATCCTTTTCCTGTTATCGCATAGGTCTATAGGCCCTCATGCAGACTGTATTTCACATAAGAAAAGGCATTAAATGCTAAAGATCTGTTGAAATGAAAGTGTAGTACAGAAGTGAAAAGTGCATTTAAGACAATCGGAAGAAAATCCTTGAAAAGATGGACACCCGGGAGGACAGATTTCGCGGGGGGCAAATCTTTAAATGTGGGATTGTCCCCCTTATGGGGGGACATCTGGCAACCCTGCTACCGATGTATAAACTTGTATCGAATAATGGTAGATACCTCATTTTGTTTGCTTGCCATTTGTAAACCATACGCGCTAGAGACTCGAGATTTTCACCATCGTGTACAGCACCCTATCTACTCTATGTATAGGTATTTTTAATATTTAATTTCTTTCTGTTTTGATTTTAAAAGAAAAATCCTAAAAAGATGTGGTTTTTTGATGATGACAAATTATTTGTCCATTTTCGAAGGAAAATTTCCTTTTAGACAAAAATTGGTATTAGTCGTAACGTCTCAACTGAGATACAATCCATATTTTAATCAGTTGAAAAACCAATATTCATATGAAAATGTTCGTTTCTCAACTGAGATACAATTTTGATACGTGCGTTGAAACGTGTAATTGTGCAAGAGTGTACAAAGGTCTATTATTCAATAGTTCTACAAAATCTACAAGAATTACAGCGACTTTCACGCCATTTTGCATACTTAGATAGTCAGTAGAGATACATCATATACCTAATGTCATTCCATTCACTATTGAATAATAGACCTTTGTACACTCTTGCACAATTACACGTTTCAACGCACGTAAAACTGTATTTCAGTTGAGAAACGAACATTTTCACATGAATATTGGTTTCTCAACTGAGATACTTGATTAAAATATGGATTGTATCTCAATTGAGTCCTAACCATATTAGTGAAAGATTTTGATTCATTTTATCGTTTTTCTTCTAACGGAATACATACAACTGAAAGAAGTCAACGGGGTCATAATAGAAATTTCCTAAATGAAAGGATATCATTCGCTCTGTTCCTCCACGATGCGATACAAAAGTTTTTTTCAATTTGATCCAAACTCAGATCATTAAAGTCAAGGAAGTGATGCAGTGTTCCTAAAAGTTAAATATATACTTTTTATTCCTTTGAAAAGTGTCTCACTGTATAACTCAGGTCAACGTTCATCTACTTCGACGAGTTTGTTAGAGCAAAGTTAGAAATCTCTTAATTTTTCGGCATTATTCTATCCTTCTTCAACCGATCAAAAAAAAAAAAGGTGAAGAACTTTAAACGGTATACCGAATAGTATTATTCACGCCGATGGATGTATGGAGAATACCGCCCGGATACGGCGGAAAACGTCTCTAATTTTGGAAGGACATATCTTCATGTCTATTCTCTTTTTTGCTGTATCCATTCTTCTTGGTTTTCTTTCTTCTTCTCTATAAGTTATGAATGTTTTATTGACATATACATTTTCGTTTTTCCTCTTTGTATAGGTGAGTGCAATATGCAGTGCACCTGGTTTATGTTATATTCTATAATATATTTAATGGAAAGTATGTAATGGAAAAAGAACGTCTCTAATTTTGGAAGGACATATCTTCATGTCTACTCTCTTTTTTGCTGTGTCCATTCTTCTTGGTTTTCTGTCTTCTTTTCTATAAGCTATGAATGTTTTATTGACATATACATTTTCTTTTCCTCTTTGTATAGATGCGTGCAATATGCAGTGCACCTGGTTTATGTTGTATTTTATAATACATTTACTGTAAAGTATTAATATAATATTAAAACCAGAATAATGTCTACAAAAAGAATATGAACAAAAAATGTCGAAAAAATTCAACTGCCTGATTTATTTCCGGTAATAAAAAAATTATTTTATCGTGTTAAAGTAATTCTTTTTGATAATAGATAATAATTTGAACAAGGAGATTATTGCAATAACAGTAGCTTTAAAAATGATATTTTTATTTCAATATTAATGTCAACATTTCGCTGTTCTAACGAGGGAAGGCCACCAACTGCCTCCTCGCTTTTGAGCTGAAACTCAGTTGACAATGGGTAATCGAACGTGCTGATTCCGAATATCACAATGGTTTTTCCCCGCTTTCGATTTAAAGACCGGTTTTT